AAATTTTTACGTTTCACTGCATAATACACCAAGAAGCGCTTTGTGCCCAAACATTTCCGGCCGAAATAGTTGATGAGGTCATGAATTTGATTATCAAGATTGTTAACAGCATCTTGTCAAAAACACTCTACCATCGTCAGTTTAAAGAATTCTTAAACGAAATGGAGACTCAGTATTCCGACCTCCTTCTTCACAATAAAGTGCGAAATAAATACATTCCTAAATGAAAAAGGTATTAATTACCCTGAATTAGAGAACGACAAATGGTTGCAAAAATTTTACTTTATGGTGGATATCACAGCAAAATTGAATGAGCTGAATCTAAAACTGTAAGGAAAGGGAAACCCAGCCTATATTTTGGTAGAAGAATTGGTTTGTTTTGGAGAAAAATTAATTCTTTTTGCAGAAGATATTCAGAGCGGTAAATTACTTCATTTTCAATTTCTAAAGCAATATCGCGATAAAACCAGTGCAACTGTTGACACGAATTACTTCAGCACAGTTATAAAAAAAATTAAAGATGAATTTGCTGACAGATTTGAGCAATTCAAAACCAACAAAACCACTCTAGCATTCATAGTAAATCCTCTCAACACAAATAGTAACGAAATCCACATTGAGCCATTTGGAATTGATACTGCATCTCTAGAAATGCAATTGATCGATTTAAAAAGTAAAGCTTTGTGGAGTGGAAAATTTACAGAGTTGAAAAGCAAGTTGGAAGAGTTGGAGGTCCACAAATGTATGTACGTAACGCAACAAAAGTGGACAACTTTAAAAGAAATGCCGCGAATTGAGGCACTTATATTCGACGCATGGAATAGTCTTCCAGATTGCTACAGTGAGGTGAAGAAGTTGGCATTTGGAGTGCTGACTATCTTCGGATCGACATATTCGTGCGAGCAAGCGTTCTCTTGCATGAATATAATTAAAAGTAAAATAAGAAGCCAACTAACAAATGAAAATTTAGAGTCGTGTTTGAAACTTAAAACAACAAGTTATGAGCCAAATTTATCCAAACTTTCTAAAAACATGCAAAGCCAACGCTCCCATTGAATTTGTTTGCTCAAATGTATGTTATTGAAGTACAAGTTAGTGTTGTAAGTAAATGTTTAATTATTTTAATTTTTTCCTTAAATAATAAGTAATTATCTAACAATGCCATATATATATTATCTAATTTGTTGTGAAAAACACTACTTATATATGAATACATAGATATTTTTCCTTATGAATAAATAGATTGTTTTTTTTTTTTTTTAGTACTATTTATTGTTGGCAAGAAAAAATTTTGAACAGCGTGCGTCGGGAATCGAGCCGAACATTCACGAACTCCGAAACGAGCACGCTTCGAGAACCGAGCCGAACATTCGCGAATTCCGAAACGAGCGCGTGGCTCGCCGACCGCGGAGCCGCCGAACGTTCGCGAAGCCACGAGAGCAGGCCGAGCATAGCAACGCGACGTTGTTGACTGTCCTACGACGTTGTTGATTGTCCGCGGGTTCTAGCAACGCGGTAATATAAATATCGGTTTCGGAGTCGCGATCGCGGCAGATTTCTGCTGGATTCCTTGCGTGGCAACCGACGAGTGAATATCGTCTGTGCATACCGAGCGAATTTCCAAGCGAATTTCACAGTTTTGTGATTGTTTAACCGTGTTTTTCGATTACTAAAGTGATTTCTAGCACGAGTTCGATCGTTAATTCTAAAATCCCATTATTAAGTGGTCAGCGAAAGCGGCCCTTCGCCGTGAAGTCGAAGTTACCTAACCTGGACGCCCACGTGGCTGCCCCGAGCGTGGAGCCCGTTATTTCTGAGGCTGCTTCCCTGCGAGAACTATCAACTAAGGACAATTCGGTAAATCAGGAGGAAATTATTTCCGATAAAGGTGGGCTGGTGGAGTCTACCGCTACTAGGAGTTTGGCGAGTCATTCGCTTTCCATCAATCGCTCTCCCGCAGGTGCTTTCAGGTTTATCCATTCATCGGTTGGGGAATCGGTCTCCCCAACCCCGTGTAATTCATCCATGCAAAACTCATCCTCGTCCGACAGCTCTGCTGATTCGCAGCCTCGTGCTAAGTCGATTAAATTAATCGACATGCCGGCTAGCCTTCAGGCGAGTGGTACCCCCTCCAAGGAGGAGTTGAGTCGAATTCTCCTCACGAATCGCGAGAAATTATCCATCTTGGCCGCTGCTAGCGACGTTTCATCTAAATTCGAAAACCCCAACCGCGTGGCCCCCGTTAATT